TTTGAAGCTTTGCACCCTCTCTCTACCCTCTCTCTTTACAAGCTCAATCCTTGGCCCAAAATCACTCAATTCAAGCTCCAAATCGGTAAGATAACTATCCTAACTCATAGATTAACATCTTTAGCCTTCAAATCCATGTTTAAACCATGGAATAGGACCATAATTATGTGTTTACGGCCCTAGAACAGTCCTAGGCCGCAAACACACATAAAATGGGTTTTGGAGCCCAAAAACCCTCCTAAATCACTTATGGAGCTTGGAAATGACTTAAGGCCTTATTTGAATGGATTAGGAACACCATGAACTCATCATTTAAGGGGTAAACATGAGTTTACGGCCCAAGAACATGCTTGGACCATAAACACCCATTCATAGATAGTAAACACCTTTTAAGGTGTTAAGATGCCCCTTAAACACCTCCTAAGCCTTGAAATAAAGTCTAGAAGCAACCACAAATGTGTTAGGGACCTTAAACTTAATAAAAACCAATCCCTTAGGATTTGACGGCTGTAAACCCCCTAAGGAAAGGTTCTTGGGACGTAAACTCCTATAACTTAGTCAAATGATGCCCTAATTTCATTCCATGGCTTGTATAATGAGTTTGAATCACATGTGATTGACCTAGGACCACCAAAACACCAAAGGAATGGGTATGAGGGAGCTTACGGCCATAAACTCTTAGTTTACTGCCGTAAACTCCTTAAAGTGGTCCATGTGTTGGTTTAATCTCTTTCCAATGCCCTAGAACTAAACCTAGCATCACCCTCCAAGTGTTATAAGGCTATTTAGCACCTAAGAGCACCACCCATGAGTTTACGGCCATAAAATCATGGGGATGTGGTCATTAGGGCCGAAAACTCCTCTAAGAGTTTACTCTTGAAGAGTAAACTCCATGCCTAAGCCATACACCCCTTTAGATGTCACCCGGGTCCCTCCAAACATTTGAATTGAAGTGTTTTCGCCCCTCGAAGTGTTTATTCATGTTGATTAGTAAATCAAGGCCTAATTAGATATAATTTATGTATCTCTTCATATTACATAGGAACCTCGCGCGTTATCAAGCCCCGAACTGACGTTAAGCACCCAAACCGACACGTTTCTCGACCGGTGAGTTCATACCCCTACTCCTTTTTCCATGTTTTTCAAATGTTTTCAGGGGGGAATACAAGCAAAAGTACAAGGAAATATTGTACTCAAACTTATTATTTCAGTTCAAATGTTTCAAATTCTGTATGCTTTTAATATCGAAAACCGTATTAACCGACAGTTTGACTTGCAGAGTTAGCTTTCAGACTAATTGAAGATTTCATTATAAAATGTTATAATCTATGTTACATTTTATAATTTACGAAGGATTCATGCTAATTATAAACTAGGATTATTACTAATAAGATACGCCTTCGAATAGTACTAGGACTTCGAAAATATAGTTAGTGTACGCCTTTGGATATCGACAAAGTTTCGGAATAATTCGAATGTACACCTTTGGATATTGTTAGGGTTCTAAAACATGTCTAATATACGCCTTTGGATATCGACAGAGTTTCGAAAAGTATGTTTAATATACGCCTTTGGATATCAATAGAGTTTCGGAATAATTCGAAAGTACGCCTTTGGATATCGACAGAGTTTCAAAGACATACGGCTTTGGATATCGATAGAGCTTCGGAAATACGTCTGAAATACGCCTTTGGATGTCACCAGAACTTCGAATATACAACTAGTGTATGCCTCTGAGTGTCTCCAAAGATTCGAAATTTCGAATAAGTATAGTAGATATTCGACATTTGTGTATAGGATAACCAGGTTTCCAGAATACTTATCTAATATTACAAGTATGGTAGATACTAGTTCATTGCATTTATAACCAATAATAACCACGAATTTTAGGAAAATAAGGGTTTTTCCTGGGATAACATAACTGCTCTTAATCAAACTGTGTAACGAATGAATAACTAAACTACATTTAAGAAAATATGGGATTTTCTTGGATAACAACTTTTTCAAAAAACCAAAGGAAACTTGTTCTCTTTCGAAAATAAACCACTTATGAACTCACCAGCTTTATGTTGATTTTCAAACTGCTTGTATTCTCAGGTCCACATTAGACAGATATCCAGCGATCCTTTTGGTGAAGACGGAGCGTATAGAAGACTCGTCTTAGTTTTTGTTCATATTATGTATATGTATAAAACTTGTATAACTTTACTTTCAAACAAATGTAAATGATTCTATGTAACGTAATGTTTTGTGTTTACTATGTTTTCTATGCACATTGGTTGTGATACTACGAATGACGTCATCTCCGCCCCGGAACGTTTCCGCCTTCAGTTTCCGGGTGTGACAGGGTTACTTCAATAGCATGTTTTGGAACTTGAATTATTGGGATAAAGCAAGTACATTAGCTGGTGAAGTTGAAAATCCAAGTAGGACGTTTCCGAAAGCTTGATCTCAGGGCCCCAGGGACCGAAGGATGAGATTGTCTCTTGATGTAGCAAAGAGGTTCTTCAGGTTGCAAGATATGCTTGGGTTCGATAAGGCCAGCAATACTGTCGACTGACTGCTCATGAAATCAAAACCCGCTATTCAAGCTCTACTTCCCCAGTAGTTAGACCGTACTTGCAGTCTCATTGGTCTGTCAAACAGCGGTTCTTCTGCATCAGAATGTGAAGTTATGTCTGGAATTGATGATTAATCTATGGAGAAAATTAGGGAATATCGTGATTATAGTCGGTAACGCAAAATCTACTCCCTCTAGCAGTAACAAAGAGAAGAAAAAGCTTGATAGAGGAGTTAGGAAAATTGTGTATATTCATCACTCTATTGCTAAAGAAACCAGGGAGCAAGCAAGAGTAAGGGCAAGGAAGAGGACAACTGAAAAGAGATATAATAAGATTGGTGGGGTTGATGTTGGTGGTTCTGGCTCTGATCAGTATTCTAAATTTAGACCACATTTCGATCAGGTGATGAATCAAAATGTAAATCGATTAGGGTCTTTGATTCCCTTTGGCCGGAGAGAGGGGGGGGGAGAGAGAAAGAGAGAGAGAGAGAGAGAGAGAGAGAGAGAGAGACCTTTTATATATTAAATGAGAGAGAGAGAGAGAGACTTTTTCTATATTAAATAATAATTTTTTTCTTTTTTTTTAAATAAGGGCAAAACTTCAAAAATGGTCCCTGTAATAGTGAAAAGACGGAAATGCCCTTCACTTAACGGTCAAAAGCTAATGGAGTTAGCGAAAATGATCATTTGTTATAAGTTTTGAAACCACAAGGACCATCTATAAGGTTTTCTGAACTTAAAGACTAAACTTGATATTTTCGAAAACTACAGGGACCATTTTTGAAGTTTTGTCAAAAATCTATGTCAATAATTCTTAAAAATGTTTGGCTTAAAACCCGTTCAATTCTCCATATTGAATCTATTTTAACTAAAAAACCAAAAACAATTTTAAAAAGTCAAGTTTGTATATATGTTTTAGAGTTTTTTTTAAAGCTTATGAAAAAATTTATTTTGAAAAGTGTTTTTACGTTTGTTAAATACTCTTTTTGATTTATTGATTTTTCGAAAACTCAATAAATGAATAAGTTATTTTCTATTGCATTATGATGTTTTATGTTAAATATTTGTTTGTTTGAAAACAAAGAATTTAATCAAGTTTTTCAGATTATAAGATCCAAAAATAAAATATTATTTTGTTATAAATATTTATTATTGAAGACCAAAACAAAAATATTTGGATAAGCCTAAGAGTAAGGTTAAACAACAAAATCACTAATCTATGACATTATCAATGACGTTCATAATTTTGTTTGTTTTTCTTTATTGGTTATTTAATATCCTCTGATTTTTATTGAAATGACACTTAATTCCATACCGAAAAAACATCATAAATGGTCCCTGTGTTTTCCCAGATTCAGAAGTTTAGTCCCCATAGTTTAAAAATCTCATAGTTGGTTCCTATGCTTTCAAAACTTTTGACAGGTGGTCCTTATCCCTCACACCGTTAGAATCCCACCGTTAACCCTTATTTCATTAAAATAATATAAGGGTAAATCGGTCTTTTCACCTGTGCCCTCTTCTTTATTGAGGGAAATGATTATGCCACTGTCTTCTTCACGTCAACTCCCAAACACTCTTCATCTCCCAAGAGCACAGTGACTTCGTCTTCAACAGATCACTCTTATCCTCGAATCGAAATTGGGGTTTAGGGTTTACACAGCACCAAAGGACAATGGTTCTGTCAATATGGTGTTTGCGTGAAAAAAAATGCGTGCTTGAAGGACTTGCAATCGAGATACGGTAAGATTTTTCATAAAAAAAAAATTGAAGTTTTTGTTTTCCTTGAATGTATTTGTGAAGATAAATCATCTTCTTTATCCTTTCTATTTTTATGTTTGTAGAGGGATATGATAACTATTTCACGTTGAAGATACACTATAGTGGTGTCTTCACCAAGTCACCTGGAAGGAAATACGTCGATGGTAGTGTATCATACGTAGATGACGTTGACACTGATTTATTTTCAGTCCATGAACTCGATGACATGGTTCGAGAATTAGGGTACAAAGGTGAACAAACTCTTTACTACCATTTCTGTAACCCTGAATTTCCCTTAGACTATGGGTTATCGCCTTTAGGGAATGACCAAGATGTTCTTAAATTGGTTTCGTATGTCCCTAAGCACAGACTTGTAAAGGTCTATATTGAAATTGGTCAGACTAGGGTAGCTAGTTATTTTAAGTCTCCTTCCAAAGTTGTTATCGAGGAACTGGAACCTGAGAGTGTGTCACCGGAACTTAATAGAAAAAAACCTTGTAGAAGAGAAGTAGGATCGTGTAGTAAAAAGCTTGAGTTAGACCCCCCTGCCAACCATGTTGTTGACCAGTCACAGGTAATAGATATGGATGAAAGTCAGGATCATTCAAAGACTATTGTTCCATATGTTATGTCTCAAGTTAGCCAACGAAGTAATGTCATTGATGTGAATGAAGGATTGATCATGGGCCACATAGAAGAAGTGTGTAAGAGCAATTTAGGCAATCTTGCAGAGGAACCAATTTCTGAAGATATTGATGGACAACAAAGTGTAAGACTCGATGAATTTGAAGCATTTACAGATGATTATTCAACTTATGCTGAATTTGATGCTGAGTACAGTGTACCGAATGGTGAAGACAATCAAGTAGAAATGGAAATTCTAGAGGGCATGGTAAGTGATGATAGTGGAGATGCTTTCTATAGTGAGAATGAAGATGGTTTTGATTATAGTGCAGATGATTCTGATGATAGTGACTACATTGTACATGAGTCTAACATGCAATTTGATGTGGATGTAGACATGAGTGAATTCCAAAGTCATGTGGATGTAGATGAACATGGAATTTTAAACAAGCAAACTGAAAGTATAGGTAATGACATAGTTGATGAAGAGTTGGAAGTTATTCAAAGTGATGATTATCAGTATGCAGGATTTAATGAAGATGAAAGGACAAAAATGCTTAAGGAGTTGAGTAGGTCAACTCCATGCTCACATGGGGAGATCCATTTAAAACCATATAGGGTGGGGCAGTGTTTCAAAACAAAGAAGGAAGTTGTGGACTACATGCATGCACATGCTGTAAATACAAGGAGGTCCCTATACTTAGCAAAAAATGATAAAATCAGGGTCAAATGTGGAGGTGTTGTGGGCCAATCTACTGAAACAGTTCAATGTGGTGGGCCATCAACAAGAAGTAAGGTAAAGTGCAAGGGACAATCTACTGAAATAGTTCAATGTGGTGGGCCATCAACTAGAAGTAAGGTAAAGTGCAAGGGCAAAAATGTGATTAGTAAAAAAGGAAAATGTCCTTGGGCAGTCCAAATCTCGAGGCCAGATGAGAATACAGATTGGTTGGTGAAAACAGTACATGAAGTCCATAAATGTTTGCAGACAAGATCAGTTAAAGCTTGTACTTCCAAATATTTAGCAAACTTAATTGTTCCACAAATTCAAAGTAACCCTAAAATTCCAATCAAAGCTTTACACGAGGAGTTGTGTAAGAAGTTGGAGCTTGGTATGTCAGTTCAAAAGGTTGGTAGGGCAAAGCAAATGGCTGAACGTGTGATTAGTGGGGACTACCAACTTCAATATGGGTATCTGAGGGATTATGCTTTGGAACTGCTAAACACAAATCCTGGTTCAACTGTTAGGATAGATGTGTATCCTGAACCATCATTGTCGACTAATACAAGAACTTTTAGAAGAATATATGTATGTCTAGGTGCATTGAAGTTGGGATTCAAAGCTGGGTTAAGGGATTTCCTGGGAGTTGATGGTACATTCTTGAAAGGCCCATATCCTAGGCAGGTACTAACTGCTGTGGGTCTAGACTCAAATAATGGAATATACCCTGTAGCATATGCAGTGGTAGAGGCTGAGACAACTAGTTCTTGGACCTGGTTCATGGAACTGTTAGGAGAAGACTTAGAATTAGGAGCAAATTCAAATTTTACCTTCATTTCTGATAGACAAAAGGTATGTTATACCTAATTATTTCTCATGATAGTGTAGCTTATTTTCTAATTTTATAAATGAAACTGACTGAATTTGCATTTGTTAAGGGGATAATACCAGCAGTTGCAAAGGTATTTCCCAATGCAGAACATAGGTTTTGTTTGAGGCATATTCAGGAGAATTTGAAGAAACAATGGAAAGGAAAAGAGTTGAGTGACTTGGTTTGGGAATGTGGTAGAGCAACAACAGTAAATCACTTTATATATGCAATGGATCAGTTGAAGAAAATGAATGATGAAGCTCATGCTTGGTTGTGTAAGATTCCTGCAGAGACATGGTCTAAATCTCACTTCAGTGGTATGTCATTTAGAAGTTGTTGAGTTTTATGTTTTAATATAAAATTTGTAATTTCTCTTTTTGAATATGGTTTTCATAGGTAGGGCACACACTGATTGTTTGTTGAATAATCTTTGTGAGGTATTCAATGCTAAGATAGAGGAAGGTAGGGATAAACCAATCATCACCTGCTTAGAGTATATTAGAGAGTATCTCATGAAGAGATTGTGTGTTGTGCAAAAGGAAATAGATAAGTGTCAAGGGGAACTAAGTACTACTGCAACTATAATTTTAGAGGAGATTAAGACTCAAGCAGCAAAGTATGTAGCTAAGTATAATGGGGCAGGAAAGTACCAAGTTGCAAGCACATGGCAGGATCAGTATGTGGTGAACCTAAATGAAAGAAGTTGCACTTGTAGGTTCTGGGAGATTACAGGTTTTCCATGTAGGCATGCTATTTCTGCTATATGGAACAAAATTGAAAATGGAGAAGATGCCCCTGATGTTGAGGATTGGGTCCATCCTTGCTATAAGTTATCAACATGGAGAGCCATGTATCTGAACAAAATTGATCCAATAAATGGTCGTTCAATGTGGCCAAAAAGTGATTGTCCATTCACTTTAACTCCACCAAAACATCACACACAGGTTGTTATGTCAACTAGGCTAGATATGTACTTTTAATGCCAGCATGTATGTTAATGTTTTAAATATAATAAATGCATATGTGTAGGTTGGGAGGCCAAAAAAGAAGAGAAGGAGAGGTGTTGATGAGCCCAATAGCCAAACCACTAAATTGAGCAGGAAATTTATTGCAGTCACTTGTTCAAAGTGTCATAACAAGGGGCACAATTCAAGAACATGTAAAGGGCAGGGAGGCATTAGTGAAGTTGGATCAAAGGGGAAGACACAGGGAAAAGGGAAGACACAGGCAAAGGGTAAGACACAAGGAAAGGGAAAGGGTAATTTAGGAAATATGTTAAGTAGTTAGTTGGATGTTTGGGTAGTTAGGTCTTTTGAAACATAAATTATGGTTTGGTTGTTTAAATTATGGTAATTAGGTCTTTTGTAATGTTTGTATGGGTTAAGACATTCCATCAGTAAGTATGTTGAAAGTAAGTCTCGTGTTTGTATGGGTTAAACACAGACTTGTAATGATTTTATCAACATTTTGTAATGATTTTATCAACATTTTGCTTATGAATTACCCTCTCCAAACCTTTCTCAAGAAGATGCATGTATAACAATGTAGATTTGAAATACCATTCCTAACCATTTGCAAGATGCAGTTATAACAATGCATCATACGAAAATGAACATCAAAACCACAGATTTATAACAAAATACATAATCATCATTTCCGTTAACTTAATGTGTTACACTTCATACAACAGAATGAAACCAAAAATACCCATTCCATCAATATCCAAAACCCCCTGAACTAGTTAGATGCGTACAAAGAAACCAAAAACCCCCATCCTATTACCATCCAAATCCTTACTAGTTAAAATAAAACAAAAAAAAAAATCATCCATGAACAGAACAACATAAGCCGGTAGTTCCACAGTTCTGCACTTGCAATTGCAACCCTCTCTTCCAATCGATTCATTGATCTTATTAAACCTGGAATCACCACCAATGCCCTTGCACACATCGGAGGGTCAACCCACCTTACGAACCCACATCTTGAACAATTCAAAAATTGCCTTCCTGGGTTATGATCCGTCCATGAGGTCAACTTCGTTGTTTCCATTCCACATCTACAAATCGCCATCTTCGACACTCGCAGAAATCGTTTTGGAATTCGATGCACAGTAGAGTGAGAGTAGAAGACGGTGGGTGCGAGAAGGGTTAGACCAATATAGACATGCATTTGGTTATAAAGAAGAGGGCACAGGTGAAAAGACCGATTTACCCTTATATTATTTTAATGAAATAAGGGTTAACGGTGGGATTCTAACGGTGTAAGGGATAAGGACCACCTGTCAAAAGTTTTGAAAGCATAGGGACCAACTATGAGATTTTTAAACTACGGGGACTAAACTTTAGAATCTGGGAAAACACAGGGACCATTTATGATGTTTTCTTCCATACCTTTATTTATTTTATTATTATTATTTTTTTGTGTGTGTATGTAAATGAAGACTAAAATATGATCACTACTCAAAAGGCCGTTGCATGAACTCTCTCGGCACTCTTTTTTCTTTATTACTCGTTTAAAAAAAAAAATCAAAATTAACAATTAAATATTATTTGTAGAAAATATATATGAACGAACTCCATTATTCAATCATTTAATTCATATTTAACATGAAAATAAAGGTATCGTTCAAATAACGTGTTACATTACACCATGTAATCACTAATGTTTAATGAAGATGTTAAAAATAATATTATTGTTGCTTGCCAGAAAAGTCTAGCAATTTTATTTGAAATAATTAACATGTTCGTTCGCCTAAATTAGTTTCCTTTAGCTTATTATGCAAGATTTTTTCCCCCTTTATACTCAAAGTAGCAAAGTACCTTGTATTTCCTTTTATAAAAATAAAAAAGGCATATGCTACACATGTTATTGCATCTACCAAATCTAATCGTTGGTGTTGGACGAACGATAGTTCATCTTGAAGAGCCAAAGTTCGCGGCTACATTGTTGGTTTACTATTACTTTTTTAATCCTTGATGTTTTTGTACGGTAATGTTTGGCTTTGATCTTGTAAGTTATAATTCTTTGCCCTATTTATATTATGTCAGCTACATGTTGGTTGTTCTTATCTTTTTATATATTCGCTTTCAAATCTGCCAAATCTAACCAAACCAATATTATAATTTCGTGGCTACACCAAATTTGTCTTGCAAACAAAGAATACATAAAAATGTTAAGAAAATGATTTATCCTGTATGTATTTGAGCGTATGTTAGTGAGTATCAGGAATTCAAATATAAAAATTTAAGTAAAATAAAGTTTTCTTAAGATCATATTATATTTGTAATTGAAACTTGGCTTTCTTACAACAATATTTACCTTATTTATTTATTTATTTTTATGCTTAACATGATTGCAATACTCAAAATTATCATAAACATATCATGTGGGGTTTAATTATTTTTAGTAAAAGACTATATAACATCCTACGCCGATTTTATTATTATTATTATTATTATTATTATTATTATTATTATTATTATTATTATTAATTGTAGGTGGTAGAGGTTAGTATTTGCTTATTTATTTATAAAACACCTATTTTAAATACATGGTAAACAAAGTATTTGTTTTGTACACAAAATACCACCAAAATAAATATATTTTATGAACAAAAACTTTCCAATTGCTTACTCATCGACGTGTGAGCAGGCGTGGAGAAGAAAAGGTCAAAAGACTTGAGCATAACGGGAGTAATGATACTTCTCTTTAAAACAATGATGTTTTATTAAAAACTAGGTTAATACCCGTGGATACACGATTAAAAAAACGTTGTTGATAATTTCAAATCATCATGATCAACGATTTGCAAAAATAAGAATATGTAACTACTAACAACATCAAATGAAAAAAATATACATCAAAAGTGATGTTCATTAAGCTTGAAATAACCATAACATTAATCAGTTAAATCTTCATATTACATATAAAACACATACTCAATACACACATCAATACATATAATATAAGGAATTGAATCATATATTATTTTCCAGAATAGAGAAAACATCATAATAGGTAAAAAAAACATTCACTGAATGTCTACAAACCTTGCAGATGATTGCCTAGAGTAAAGCTTTCACTGAATCGATAGGTAAAAAGCTAGAACTAAATCGTATAAATAGATAGATTGATCGTTAATTACTAACCTTATGTACTTATTCTACCCTTTTATCAATCTTTGTTATGCAAACATAATAAAATCAAGAATGATGGAGGTATATATGGACCATCAAATTTAAATTTGAAATTGATCACGAATTTCTGATTTCTTGCTAATGGAATCAAATTCAAACTATGTTGTTGATTTTTCAGAATAGATACAATCGATAATTGAGGAATTTATTCCTGATTTCCTGCGTATCATCATATTTGATATATTTGATTTTGAGAATGAGTTACCGAAAGATCTCTCATGTTCCTTCGGATGCGTATTAATCTTGACTTCAATGCTTCAAATCATTCAAAGTAAAACAAAAGAAACATTAAGAAATGCTTAAAATTATCATAATGAAGTAGTAACCTTGAGAAATCGATAGAGCCCAACAATGAAATACACTTCAAATACAAGCTTTGATGCAAATTATAAGCTTCGATGGAGATCGATTAAAGACCAGCTTTATAGGATTCGATTTGGGAGATAATCTTGTTGGTAATTTCTTTTGCGATTTGGAGAAAATCGTTGCTGATTTTGTGCGATAGTTGTCGTCATCAAGTTGCGACAGTGGAATCCCATTCAACATGGATTGTGGGTTGGTTTTGCGAGAGAGGGGGCGTGAGCGAGAGGAAGCATTTTTGTTTTGCTAATTCCTAGGGTTTGATAAGAGGATGCAACTTTATTTATGGAAGATGTTTGTTACTTGATCTCAAAATTGAAATTAGCAATCAACTCCTCAATTCATGCTATCTTATCCGATTAGGGGAAGAAAGAGAAGACGACATCAAAGTGAAATGAGCAGAAAAAAGAAACCTAAATGTCATAAGGATATTTTCGACCTCAAGGGCAAAGCCGGAAATTCACATTGGTTTTTTAAGCGGGAAAATTAGATGGGAGGGTGCTTAGTGAGTGCCACGTGGCACTTTAGTACTTATTTATTACATGAGGGGATTTAATTGGTTCATTTCCTTCTAAAGTGATTCAAATTTCAAAATATTTCACTTTTGCACATTGTTATGAATTTAATCATTTCAAGAAATTTTCAAGCTTAAAAGCTCGATGGGCTTTTTTCTTTAAAAACCATAAAGATGGGTTCAACGTTCCACTAGGTTGGGCCCCATAAAATAACTGTTTTGTACGTTCACAATTTCACATAATCACATTCACAATGAACTTGAAGTAAACGAAAGCAGTAAACTAACACAAATACACAATTACACAAAGCCTTATTGAGTTCTTATGCATAAACGAAATGCATACTAATTATTCATTACCTTTACACAGCCATCATAGTGCTATCCATCAATGATCATTGATTTCTGTGTTTCACTCTGGCTGGATATAGTCCCCGTGATAAATTTGCTGCACAAACACAAAAATGCACCACTAGTTTAAGATCTACGAGTCATTAATCACTACATAAGAAAAGATGATAATAAAACATAATAAATCTGTTCATCTATCTTATATTAAATATGTTAAAATAATATGAATTCTAACATAAGGAGGTTTTATCATTCAAACAAAATTTATGGTTACCTGTGTGCGTCTTTCTTCTCTGAAACTAAGATTCCGAACCTTGAGCTCCCCTCTATTTGTAGTCATTTGATCAAGTATTTCAGCATCACATATGGCCACGTCACCTTCAATGCTCCCACCATGATCACTAACCGATTCCTACATGTATTTTGTTCATGGATTAGAAAATAACAACTTCAGTTATAATTATGTCATGGGTTGAGAAAAAGTTACCCCGAGATTGAAACTAGGAGCTCTTGGTGGACTACCCAGGATTTCCTCATATTCGGCTGCATCAAGTTCCCTCAAATAATGAAGTTGGAATAGTTTTGGTAGAATGTGTTGGCGTATGCTGATGAGAAGGAAGAAAGGAACTGGGAAGAGAATTCCAGCTATAGGAATCCATGTCACACCGTAGCACACAAGGAAATACACAATTTGGAAGACTGTGAATACTACTATGCTTCTAAATGGGACTGACTCGATAAAAGAAGCATGAACCTTTTCCAGAACCCTGCCACCACATAGATAGCAATGTTGTTTTTATTTTTTTATTTTTTTATATATAAATTAGTAATCAAAACATATATTTCTTGAAAGTGAGAGAACAGAGAACTCACTTGTATCTTCTGCCAGAAGGGATAAAGAGAAGCAAGATCCTTTCCCAAAATTGGTTTCCAGGAAGACTATCAATGGCCATGTAAGCAAAATAGCCCCAAAGAACTGAAGTTGGTATTAACTTTATAAGTGGCATCGCACAAATAGATCCTGCTAAAAGAAGCGACTGCAGTAGATTGCTGACTCTTTGTTCATTAACTCTCACAGGTAAGTGTGCATCGATGTGCTCCTCAGGATCAAACTTCCCCTTTGTGAACTCTTCTCCATCTTCTACTTTCATCACTGCTTCTTGCAAGTCTTTTAGTTCTTTAACTATCGTAGTTGTCTGTAATGTAAGAAAAAACAAGTTAGAAAAGCATACTTTGAAAATTGTGAAAATGTGTTGCTATTTCTTGTGTTCAACACTTGAGATATTGAAGATTTACAATTGGAGAGCTATCGATTTCTATGAAAACGGTTTGCATCTTGTTGTAGATCTCTGAATTGGTAGCTTTCTGCTTTATGCTTTCCTTGGCACTCGCTACCAACTTCTTTCTAATAAACTGATAGAACAAAACAATTACATTATTAGAAGAACTAAATCAAATTAATGATACATATCTAATTCTATTATTTATTTTATTGTGGAGTTGCCTGTTTTTTGAGAACTGCTAGGCTTTTAGTGTGCATGGGTGATTGAGGCAATACACCATTTGAAGGAGGCAGTCCTAACAATCCGCATAGCAATGTCTGATACAACATTTGATAATGATTAATGAATATTAACTTCGGATAATAAATTAATTGTATAACCAAAACAATCATGGGTACCATGAACCCAAGCAAAAGAATGTCATGATGATAGGCTGAAGGATTCTTGAGGTTGAATTCTTTTTGTTGAGCTAACTGTGAAGCAACACTATGATCAAAGAAATAAAGCCCTGCTATCATAAGAGCTGGTATGAAGGCTGCCAAGATGTATACAAGAGGAACTTCACCCATATCCTGTACTTAAATTCAAGGGAAGAATTAAGATCTAATTATGAAGGTTTTTTTTTTTTTTTTTTTTTTTTTTAATATAAAATGTCTACAAATATTTACCTTGATAACAGTCCAATGATATGTCGATTCAGATTCCCATAAGAGTGGACTAAAGAGTCTTCTTGGAACTCCAGAAGGGAGTTTGCCAGGTACACCGAAAGAGACAGCTGTCCACACTATAATCATCAACGGGACTCCATAGTCTGCTATGAAGCTTCTGAGTCGCCCTAAATTCAGATAGCATGTTAGGATAATAAGAATCCACAACAAAACAAATTTGAAAAAGAAAAGGTTTAAAATCTGCTCCATTAATTCACCTGTCCCAAACCACCATGATCTTGCTTTCCTGCTTTTTAATGCCGTGTATAAAAGCCCAAATGAGAATACAATTGCCAACATACCATTGGTGTAAAGCCATTGAAATTGATACTTCACTTTATTTGCGTCCTCATTTTTAGGCACCTTGAACTCACTCACGAGTCCCTAAACCAACAAAAGTTATAAAACATGAAACAACAGTAACAAATTATTAGCGACTTTAGTTAATTACCTTGATTGCCTCTTGAAGAAAAAGAACAGAAATTAACATCCCAAAAGTTTCTCCAGCGATCCTTGTAAACCTATTGATGATAACACATGCATTGAAAATTGCAAGAATGAACAACATCATAGCTGTCCAAGTGCATACCCTGCAAAAATTAAAAAAATTAAGTTAAAATCCAATGATCAAATACTAATACTAGCGTTGTTACAAAATTACCATCCAGCCCATGCCAAGAACAACTCTTGCCCCAAATTTTGTCTCCCTTTAGCAAAGTTATACAAGTAAGTGTACATTATAACAGTAGGTTCTGCAACTCCCAATATCAGAAGAGGTTGTCCACCAAGTATTGAATGTATGAGACCACAAATAGCAGTGGAAGTCAAAGTTTCAACTGTGCTCAACCTTCCATCTACAACAACAATTGAAAAATGTTAACTAACAAAATTATTACCATATCCTATCCTATCTTTAGTTTCCTCTTTTATAAAATACCTGTATCTCTATTAAGTTGCTCCCCAAATGCAATCACAGGTAGTGCAGAAGCAAAGAAGATGTATGTAGTTGGAGCCAAAATCCTACAGACAATCATAATTACCATTTTCAATCAATATTGTAGTTCTCAGAAAGTGGTGACAAAATAGTCGATGAAATGATATACACATACAACTACATATGTACGTATATGATCTAAAGTTTTTAAAATCGCGATCCTCATCGTATTTGGATCGTTTTAGGTAAGATTGTAATATCGTTGTTATTTATTTATCTAAAAAAAATCTAAATTTTGTTTTGAGTTAAGTGAATCAAATGTGATCCCTACAATTTTTTTTGAATTGTTTAGGATCTTTCGTTGATTCGATCTAACAATCATAATCTTGCAAAAACAAAACAAGATCATGTTTATATATATATATATATATATATATATATATATATATATATATATATATATATATATATATATATATATGGGTAAAGTAAATATACCTAACAACCTTATATAAGCTTAGGTACCTAACCACATTATACTACATTGTTTTGCATTATATTTCCATTGCAATCGTCTAAGGTTCTTAAACTTCAACCCTTAGCTTGATTAACTTCCAAGATTTTCAGACGTTCACCATTATATTCCTCCTACACCATTTGATTTGTAATGGTAATATATGAAGCCCTTCAGGGGGTCTCCGATAAAAAGACGTCATTTGAAGGAAGATAATGGTGAAAGTCCAAAGATTTTGGAAACAATCAAGTTATGAGTTTGAATTTTAAGAACTTTGGGTGATTACAATGCAAATATGATACAAAATTACATAGTATAATGTGGTTAGGTACCTAAGATTATATAAGGTTGTTAGGTATATTCACTTTACCCTATATATATATATATATATATATATATATATATATATATATATATATATATATATATATATATATATATATATATATATCCCTTCTTAATAAAAGAATCCCTTAGTTACACGTGTCATGTCCTCCACCCAATTCTTCTCTAAGTTAAATTACTGTTTTGTCCTTCATCTTTATAATAATCTGCATCCATCTCACTAGAAGACTAGAACCCGATCAATTCTTTTCCTTCTTTCGTTATCCCAATAAATCAGGAAAGACGTTCATCTCTCCATAAAATCAAAATCAAAATTCAAATCCTCCCAAATTCAAGCAGTAATTTACGCACCGACATCGACGAGATGTATGAATTGATTTGCTTATCTTTTTAATTGTTCTATTTCTTTCTCAGTTTTACAATGGAAACCTGATGTCTTCATTTTGTCGATCAAACACTTATGCTTGTCTTTGTTTTTGTAGGTTGCAATGAAGACGTTGTATGCTCTCGGTCTTTCTCTCTCTGCTACAAAATCGTTAAACCAATTGACGATAAATCATTAAACCAGATGAAGATAGGGATACTGCTCTGCATCTCTCTTATACCCAAACTTCTAGAGTCCACATTTGTTATCGAATTTACAACTTTGATTTTGTTAAGTTGAAAAAACTGTTGATCTTGAGTTTAATGTTATTATCTACTCATATTCTATTACATTCTAATCAGATTAGGTTACATCTAAAACTCGTTTGAGTTGCCTACCAAATCTTCAATGAAATTCCTTTTAATTTTTGTGAAGCATGAAAGCCTAATCTTAATCAAGGTAGAGTCTGTCACAACCAGTTTTTGTTCCACAAGACCTGTCTTTACTTTTTCTTTTCATTCGTGTTCCCCTCACAGAGATCCGATGAATCATTTCAATGGATCACAAATATCTAAAGAGACTTCAATACCCTGGTTTTTGTAGTTTGTGTTGATTATCATATACATAACTTCATAAACTTCAAGTATAATGAAGTAGCAAGAGAGATAATAGTTTTAAAATGGAAATTTTATGTACTTTTTTTTGTCAAATATTACTTTATTAGTTCACTAATTATTCGATTTATTTCTTTTTCAACTTTTCAATGATCCTTTGATTGCAGGTGTCTTTTATACACAAAGTGAAAACTATAAGAATTGCTCATTTATTTCAACTTTGTGATGTTACTGCTAGGTAGAGGTGCATAATGCGTTCACAATAATGGATGCTGGAAAAGCCATTCCATATCCTTCACCTACATTATCCAATACATTTTCTTTTCAAGATCCAAGATTGTTGAGTGGCTAAGTGGGATGCATATGTTAAAAAGGATCTCTTATTTATTTATTTACTTATTTATTTTTAATGTATTTATAGGTTTATTTGTGGTTTATACGCAGGTTTAGGACTAAGCCTTTTTGAAACCAATAGATTTTGTAGACCAAATTTACTAAGAGGTTCGAATAAGCTTGTCTTCAAGTATAAATGTTGGTTATCTTCAATCTTTGGTAGACTATACGGTCATTTTCATTTCTAAAATGATGTATGTGTGAAGTAAGTATAAAAAAAGTGAGTTTCTTGTTTGCAGCCGTCTAAAGTTAAGGTAAATGACCATTTTACCCTTATTTTTTGAGGGAGTTTTATTTTCATTTTCTATAATAATATTTTAACTTTTGCAATATATTGGTAACTTATTATGGTTTCTAATGCCATTTTTAAAGAGTTAGACTCTTCGTATATTGGTTTCTAATGTAATTTTTGCAATATATTGGTTGCTTATAATATTATGGTTTCTGGTCTTGATGTCAAGATCAAGAAAAAGTGTTTATCAACTTGAAAGGTGATGTCGCATCCACTATGGTGACTATATGATTTGGAAAATGTATTATGTACATCTTTACTTGGTGACATCCCCCACATTACAAGGTGTTTAAAAAAGACAGAAGAATTATAAAAAAGAAGGCAAGATACCTAACAAGCTTGGAAGGACATTTACTAGGAGCATCAATACAATTCAGAGGGGTCATTTTTTTTTTTAAATTTAAATTAAAACTTCCATTTATATTAGTATTAAAACTTAGTATATTTGTATAACCATTTATTATTAGATGCATCTAGATCATAACACAAACATATTACTTTCACTTCACATTGCAATCTTTTTATTAATTAGATGTATTTGTGATGGAAAAAATAAAGATTATAATATGGAAGACTAGGGGTAAAAATAGAGGAAAAGGGCCGTATGGTCTTTTTCGGGATAAGTTATAAAGAATGGGGTTATTGTAGGTGGTTTGATGGGGGTCTATTCTCAAACACAAAGGCAACAAAAGGAGAATAGGGTTAAGTGATATGGTAGTATGATCTTTTGATTAGCAAAATAGATAGAAGTCAAAGTCAAAATGATGAATGGTTTTACCCAGTAAAAATAAAAATTAAAAATTGAAGTCTTTTGAAGCTGTCAAATTAACTTTTATGATAAAAACATATATAAACTAAATTTTATTATAATATTTATTTGAAAACGTCTTTTTTTAATGTATATTATTTAAAATAGGAATTAAATAGTAAATGATGATTAAGAAACTTTTGTATTTTTGGGAAACTAACTACTATACATGTTTTTAGAATAATGTAAAATCATTTTTGATGATTATGTAAATAATTAAATTCATTTATAAAAAAAGAAAAAAAGAAAAATATGCCGACCATATATTTCACATAAAAATGAAATTTCATAGCGGCTTCATTAAGAAATATATATTTTGATTTATTTCACCATTTAATAACCACAAATTAAACTTAAAGCCCAAAAACAATATGGAAAACTTCTAAATTGAAAGTTTAATGGCGAGTAAATCCTGTAAAAGAAAAATTCAATGCACCATATAGTCTATTTAAACCCGAGTTTATTCATGATCAATCTGATGCAAATTTTTACTCATCCAGTGGTTTGGTAATGTTATATTTCATTTATTTTTTCCAAGTTTCAAAGACCTTAAAATGGAAAAGACGGAAACCATTAAATACATTTAAAAGGAAACTATAATTTGAATCCATACCAATTGAGTAAAATTAAAAACAATTGTATCTCTAACAAATTTGTTAATAGCAATCCCATTAAATGAGGACATGCATCGCAAGATATTTCATAATTTTCACAAAGTCTCACAAATACTTTGTAGAAATGGAAGAACAATAGATCAAGATTTCATGACTTTTCATTGTTAGACAGAATTTAAATCTTATTAATTTAATAAAAAAAGTTTAATTTTTTATCCGTGGTTTTCACGGGTTGTAACCTAGTATATATATATATATATATATATATATATATATATATATATATATATATATATATATATATATATTGAAGAGGATTACCCAATTCCAGAGCGAATTCCAGCATTCCAATCCTGTTTATAGCACAATGCTCTTCCTCTAACATCACGTGCAATCCCTCTAAAAGGAGACTTCAAATGCTCCATTTCTGAAAGTGTATAGATGTCAGGTCAACGTTAAGAATCAGTTTTAACTTAAGAAAAAAAAAAAATCCAGATTCAATCTCATAATCTCATTCCAGCGACTGATTATCGACTGGTTATCCTTATATATAAACACATTTTTGAATGCAATCATATAGACTTACAAGATTTCAAACAACTAACTTGCAAAGAACACGAAATGGGACGAATGTACAATAGAGAATATTTGCAGTAAACTGAAGAAACACACTAATATATTGCACATAAACGGATAGAAAATAAGAGTTCATAAAAATAAAACCTGACGAAGAACGTTGAGAAGCTACTCAAAGCCTAAGTGTTGAGTATGATCGAATTCAGAAAGATGGAAGTCAACCGTATGAAGCAAAGAGGTTCTTAAATAACTGCCCATCGCTGACAGGCCTACGTCTTGATCTACCTAGTACTAACTATTTTGTATTTTACAATCGGACACACAAAACGAGGAATCTATAAATGTAGCTAAAAAATAAAGAGATTAAAAGCCGTAGTCAAATTGATACGATATCATAAACAAAATATAATATGTTATATAATAAAAAGTATTAATGTTGTTTTACCGAGACTTCGATCTCTTTTCCAAGAAATAAATTATAAATGTAATAATATAAAATTTATATCATATAAAATTGGTGTCAGCTACCATATTATTATTATTATTATTCCAACAAATTTGATTTTTTTAATAAATAGTTCAACCCTTCATTTACCACATAAAATTGGTTCCAGCTTTGAGAAAATTCAAAGTTGTACAACATTTTAGAAATATTTTTAGTATTCGATCATTCAATGATATATCCACAAAAAGTAAATAACTAATTTAGATTTATTTATACATTACCCCATTTATATATTCACTACATGTTTATTAATCCTTGAAAATGGTTATCACTCCACGTTGTTTTTATTTTTTAATTTATTATTTTTTTATATTATATTAAATAAAAAACACAATAAAACATTAATAAAAATAAAAATAATATTTTGAAGTTCAGTATACATGCTTACTAATAAAATAAACATTGATAAATATAAAAGTGATATTTTTAAAATTCAACGTACATTTTACTAATAACATAAAAATTAATAAAAAACATTGAAAAAAAATTACTCATTTGCATCGTTGTCCTCATCGTCTGCATCCTCATCCACTTCGTTTTCGTCTTCAAATTGTCGTTGTCATATGTGCTCAGTCAAATCTTGACTTAAATTGTGATGTGTTTCTCTATTCTGTATTTCCAAAAGTCTTGTAAAGTATGTTGGGCTGCCGACTTGTATTACTGCAGGTGGATTGAGCATATCATTCGGAGTATACGTGCAAATAGCTTTACCATCTTCTTCTAGTATAATGTTATGTAAAATAGCACATGCTTTCATCACCTTCATCAAATTTTCCCTTTCCCATGCTCATGTTGGATATTTGATTATGTGTCACTTCTGTTTGAGAACCCCAAACGCCCGCTCCACATCATTCCTTGCAGATTCCTGTGCTAATTTGAACAATTTCCTTTTTTCATCAGCTGGATATGTGTATGACTTGAGAAATGTAGCGTACTCTGGATATACACCATCAGTAAGGTAATATTCATGATTGTATTCACGTTCATTAATAACGTATGGCATGTTGGTGCTTTACCCTACAAAATATCGTTAAATAATGGAGATGCTCCAAGCATATTCAGGTCGTTGTTTGACCCTGCCATACCAAAAAATGCATGCCAAAACCAGAGGTCCTGTGAAACAACTGCTTCTAGTATAACAGTAGGCACACCATGATCACCTCGTGTGAATTGCCTCGCCATGCATTGGGACAATTTTCCCACACCCAATGTGTACAATTAATGCTACCTAACATTCCTGGAAATCCATGTTTAGCCTGATGTGCGGCATACAACTGTTCGACATCATTTCTGATCGTATTTCGCAAGTATATGTCTCCATAAAGCTCTATAACATACTCACAAAAAATATATGTGCATTCTCGACCGGTCATCGCAGACATCTTCAAATATTCATCTGAAGCGTCTGCGGCTATGTCGTACGCTAATTGTCTAAGAGCTGCTGTGCATTTTTGAAACATAGTAAACCCACATTTACCCCTAGCATCTCATCTCAATTGGAAGAACTCATAAATATTTTCCAAATCTCTAGCTATACGTAGAAATAAATTTCTACTGATACGATAGCGATCCTCAAACTTCGATAGGTCGTATAAACTATCAAGGTTAAAGTAATCACGTACCAAAAGTTTGTTCGCCGCCTCTTGATCCCGGTTGATGGACTTTCTTCGTTTCTTCTCGACATTTGAAGTTTCGCCTCTCTGATGTACAATGTCGTGTGTTGCAGATAACAATGTGTGCATAACCAACTCATCATCATCGAAATCTTCATCAGATGATGAAGAAGAAGAAGAAATGGCATCCAAAAAACTATTCATATTCTTGTTGTTGAGTGTGATTTTTTTTTTGTAGTTGTTGTAAAATATATGATATGTATTATGTTTGTATATATAGGTGAGGTTTTAGTTTTGAAAAGAATTTTTTTAAATAAATGTTAATGGTCAAGAGTAAATGGGAGAAAATGGTCAAAAAAAAGCAACCAATCAAATTGCGCGTAACCACCCATGAACCGTGTCAATCCGCGTCACATTCACCAGGGAGGGGGGCGATGTTCACGTGTAAATACCCCCCCCCCCTCCACGTCACCCTTTACGCGTCAAAATACCTCCATACCCCATGGCCTTAGCAAATATTTACCGAAATCTTGGATTACTAGAATAAAATAATAAGAGATATTAAAGGATATTACTTTTCCATGAAGCTTTTATTTCATGAAACCCTAAACCATTTATATACAAAAACTACTATGGATATAAGGCTATATAAAATGGCCAATGCAATGCATACTCAAAAGTGGGCCTCACATAATACAATTACACATAATTCTATATACACCAACATCATACATATGTTTGATTGAGAGGTTTCGTTCAGATGTTCAACATGGACCGAAAATCAAAAAATATTGACATCGGTAGCCCTTTGTGAAAATATATGCATACTGAGAACTAGATGGAACATGGAAACTTGAATATGTCCCAAGGCTACTGCATCACAAACATAGTGAATGTCTATATGATTTGTTTTGTGTGTAGGTATTGCACTAGATTAGATGACATGTAAACAACACTAATGGTATCGCAATAGAAAATTGTAACAATCAAAATTCTCACCACAAAATACTCCTAAATGTTTTTTCTTTTCATTTATACAAAATTAAACATTAGTTGTATAAATACATATTAAACATCAAGATTCAAAAGTTATTATACATACAAAAGAAAGCTCACAGGTCATATTGGGTCGTTACAAATACTACTTTGCTATTTAATAATGTACAAAATGTCTTCAAAGTTTCCTTTCCTTCCCAAAAGATCTTTGCTTACAACATCCTTAATTCCTAAAAACATGTTAATAAACATACACAATAAGCCAAAGGCTTAGTGGATAAAACTAACTTCATGAAGTTTGCATCTCATAATAAAATTTAAAACTATAAATAAGATTTTTTTATGTTTTACCAATAATATCTCACACCTATTCCAAATAATGATATTATCTTTCATCTCAATATATATATATATAATAATAATAATAATAATAATAATAATAATAATAATAATAATAATAATAATAATAATAATAATAATAATAATAATGATAAACACACTAGCTTAATCATATGATATCAAATCCATAAGTAAAACATGCTTTACACACCTTATCACTGGCTGGCTACTTGAAGTCCCAACACCATTTATATGTATAGCCACCTTGAGCTGTTACAAGAACTTAAACTATTGTTACATCTTTAAACCATTTATATGTATAACCACGATTTAAGGGTTCAATTCAATTCAACATTTCAATTTCATTCTTCCATCATACCAAATTCAGGTTAATTCTAACAATTAACTTTCATTAAGCCTTAATTGTGGATTTTGTTTCAGGTACTTCAAATGATCGCGAGAAGATGAAGGCTTGATCGTGCACCTCGTCGTATTTTATGTTATGATTTATGGGATTACTCTGATGACAAATTATTTTGAAACAATTTGTAATAAATGGTGGTTTTTGGATGTTTGAAAAAGTTTAAAATTTTTATGAATTTTATGGATGTTACAGTGTTATTTGATATGTTATTTATGATAGAACATCATGTTAGTGGTAGGCTAGGGATCTTTAGGAATTGCATGATAGGATTTTCTGATATATGATGCCTGTTAGCCTAGGATTACTTTCTATCACCATTACTGTAGTTGCTTAGTGTATGCACTATAGTTGTACATAACTAAGATTCTATAGCTTGAGAATGTTTGGCTTGGCCTTATTTCCTGTTCTTGTTTGTTGAAGGGTTTATGGTAGAATCAAGTATTCGATTGTCTATAGGATCCAATGTTATGTATGATTAGCATACACAAGTGCTGCAAGGTTAGTGGAAGTTTCATGGATAAGTATATGTATGAGCAGTCAGCCATATGAAGAGTGTGTAGCCATTTCCGAAGGAATGAGGATGGTGTATGTGTATCTTTCACACCCCCAAACCTACTTGGCGGAAACATTTGGGGGCGGAGGACGTCATGTATAGTATCATAACAATGCACAATATTAAAACAAGCAACAACATCCATTGCATAAATACTATACTTTATACATGTGTGTTCAGTGTATAGTTGTAAGGCGCCAAAAATATATCAAAATAAAAGACGAACCTTGAACAAGCTCCATCTTCTCAAAACCTAGTCCAACGTACCTGTCTACTGACGACCTAAGAATACAAGTTAATTTGAAAGAGAGAATCAACATTTAAGTTGGTGAGTTCATAAGTAATTTAGTGACAAAAGTTTGCCTTTGTTTCATGAAAATGTTTTGAATTATGAAAGTGTTTATATGCTTCCTAGAAAATCCTATATTTTCTATTAAAATGAAATAGTCTTCTACTAAGACGCAACTGTTTGTATGTTCTAATATCTTTGAAAAATGGTGTAAAATGTATGTTTGTACTTGAAATAGTATAAATGTGCGTATGCATTTCTTATGTGAGAATATCACTGTATGAATGTAATGGAAAATGAAGATGTACTGTAGTTTTGTATAAAAATACTCCAATGATGTACTAACTACCTTAAAACCAAATTGTTAATTAAGGTAAGAATGTGATTAAGTTATAACCATGCTTGCTTGACTAGTATAAAACACGACGTTCTTCAGACGTCAAAAATGGTATGACATTTGTCACCTATATACCTGCAGGTCCCACTGTAGCTAGCAGCAAAGTGCAGGATGGTCAATCCCATATAGATCTATACACAAACTCACGCTCTCCCTCCAGGAGACTCTGGTTACAAAACATGACACAACAAGTATATTGCTATGCCATGAAATAGCATTTCACATTTTAGTTGTTCTGTTCTTGTTATAGTATGTATGTTCCTTTCTGTTCTTTATGGTATGTTTTGCAATGTATAGTAATGGTATGAGTGTACTGACTCATGTATATTTCTCTGTTCTAGAAATAGTATGTAGTGAAAATCTAAACTATACCAATTATAGTTTACTAGTACTTTTGTTTGTACTGTTACTGATTTGCAGAAAAGACTTAATTGTTCAACGGAAGCAAATGAGTTAAGAATGATCCTTAAAAATGGGTTTAATATTCATATATGTATTTAATGAGTATAACTATGATTTAACCGACAGTCGAACTAGTGATCCAACCCTAAGCCCACAACCAAACAAGGAATAGGAGTCAAGGTATTTAGTAATAGTCCTAAGTCCGTTAAAACATACTTATACGTAAATAAATAGACGATTATGATTTTGATATAAAATAAGTTTTAAATAGTTTAAAAGAGTTTTAACAAGTTTTTGAGTATAAGAAATCCTTTTGTTTGTTGTTTTCGAATGTAAATGGTTAACACATTCGTATTGTGTTCTACTTATATCCCCCTAAAAGCATTTAAAATGTAATTGTAGGGGTATGAACTCATCTTGTGTGAGTGAATTGGATGAAAGATCGATATAGGATGCTTGGTATCACTAGTGAAGTCCCGAGCACAAACGAATCCTATTTAGCATATAATAACATATATATGTATACAATTAGTGTTTATAACAACTAAAGTGTAAAGGAAACAACCTTAAGAAGTAGTGAACACTTACAATGAAGTGTTAGAACCGAAAATGGGAGGCTGAAAGATGATCACGACCAAGAATGAAGGGTTTACGCCCCTTGAGTTGATGACGACCTAAGAACACTTGATGTGTTCACGGCCCAATGATAAACTTTGAAGGGTTCACAGCTAAAAAGAAGAGTTCATGGCCAGAACTCTTAGAAGATCTTTGATGAAAATATGATGAATCAAGATGGAAGGCTAGGATTTTCTTATAAACAACAAGAAAGGGATGAGTTACTTACGATTTAGAGGAGAAAATAGAGCTTTTGATTGATGATAGTTAAGAGAAAACTTGATGTTCATGGCTAGAAGATGGAGAAATGATGATATAATAAGCCAAACTCTTATATATAGCATGGAGTTCATGGCCAAGGTTGGGTTTACGGTC